ACGAATGGATAAGATACGAAATGAGTATATTAGGGGAAGTTTGAGAGTAGCCCCCGTAGTAGAGAAGGTAAGGAGTAAAAGGTTAGCATGGTATGGGCATGTTATGAGGAGGGATGAATCGCATGTTACAAGGAGAACGTTAGTTATGAGTGTGGAAGGGTACATCGGTAGAGGTAAACCTGACATGACATGATCAAAAAGGGAGTGATGACTGAGATGACGTAAGATAGATTTATGTGGAGGACAAAAACCTGTAGCGCCGACCCTACGGGAGTAGGATAAGGAGATGATAATGATGATGATGTATAAGAAGCTCATAATATTAAAATCAAATGAAAAAGTGTATTATAAGTATTGTCCAACTTTGGGAATCACTGTATAGTCCAACAAGAAACTTCCATCACGAGTAACTAATAACTAGAATAATGCCGCTTTGTAACTAAATATCGATAACAATACCAAATACCCTTTATCACGCATATATAAGTCATCATTAATTAAAATTTAGAAGTTCCAATAGAATTTAATCTCCAGTTGATTATTCGTCGTAACTTACGAAATCGTTATAAACTAATTTTGTACACACTTTGATTTAAGTAATTATTTTTTTTATTCTGAACCTAAATTCTGATTAAACAAAAGTTTGTTTACAATAAGATCAGGGCTATTGTAAAGCCAAGATGAGGGACTAGATTGAGGCGCACTAGGACTATATTTAGTCTTTTGTCTGCATTAAATTGAGTCTGGTCGTTGTAATTATTCGGAGCTTAGGCAACCTCACTGCGCCGACACGCCTGCATCAGACACTACAAAGACCGTTTGGAGTAACAATTTGATATTCAAATCTCATATTCATATTTAATTAAATTTTTATTTCATCTACACAACGGCTAATGTTTAAGAGTGTAACTAACTAGCTTTTCCCGTGCAGCTTCATCCGCTTGAAATTATAAGAACTTTATTTTATTTTTACATTTATGAAATTTTCAATTGCAAATGACAATATTCAAATGCACAAATGACAACCATGGCAACCTTATTTCCTTCATGTTGGCAGTTTGTAGTTTATGGTCCCTTTCCCACTAATAACTTTAATAGCGTGAAAATATATAGCTGAACGCGTGTCGTAAGTGTAAGGCTTTTTATTAAGAAAACAATTATTCATAAATGTGCTGTGATTGTTGACATTCTACGCCACGAATTGTGTGTTAACGCTTTATTAAATTAGTGTAGATTACAGTTAGACAGTAGCTTACGCCAGGCATGTTTTTAGATTATGTCAGTTGAAATCCAGTCCAGTTTTCGAGTGCTACTGTCCAACTGTCCTGGGCAAGTGTTAACAAGGCATTAAATTATTTAATTTTTTTTACATATTTCATTTAATTTTTTAATACTTTTTTCTTTTAATTCAAATCAAATGGCACTGGTGAGAATGCGCCTTTAGTTTGTGGTATGGAATAGGTTTCTATCTATCGTTAATCGATAATTATGTTCTAAACAATTGTTAACATAAAAGATTATTTACAACTGAGTTGTGAATTTCTTTATAACAAATAATAGCCAAGCTAAATTTTATATTGTGTACATAAACTGTTTCCTCAAATATGGTAAGAATAAAGTGCTTTTTGTCTATATTGAGAACACAAACATTAGACGAGGCATTGAATTTTGTCGGGATTTTGCATCACAATGCCTTTGATGGAACGGATTTACATTTTCGGCGGCATCACGCTGAACACTGCGTGACATCGCGTCCGTTGAAAATAATTTAACGTAACGCGCTTACGCTCCATTTGGCCAGCTCTTATGTTATTACCTCATTTAACCACATTATTTGATAAAAAATAAACACACTCCACTAATTCGATCTTTGAATATTTTAATGTAACATTTTATGTCCATATTTATTTTACGTTATTAAAAATTCTATTTCACTACTTTATCACTAACATTTATTACTAGCTTTCGCTTGCAACTCCGTTCGCGTGGAATTAGAAAAAACAAAAGTAGCCTATGTGATCTTCCAGACTATCCTCTACATCTATTCCAAATATTATCGAGATCCTTCCAACCATTTAGGGTACAGACTTTAACAAATATCCATCCAAACTTTCGCATTTATGGTATTAGGAAGATTTCATTTGGATATTATATTTCCTAATTTATAGAGTACAAAAAAATCTCAATGTTATGATTGGATTTTATTTTATAATTTAACACAATGATATATATCATATGATGTTAAAAATTTTATAATTTTTTATTAACTATATTTATTAAAATGTCTAATAACTTTACAAGTTACACACAAATATGTTGATTTAATAAATTGTACAGCGAAATGGAAATGTAATAGTGAGGGATGCAATATTCAGTTCACTTGACTGTCTAATCTCGTACCTTTGATGTGGTGCATTACTAAAGCAGTTTGTTATTTAAGCACTAACCAACCTTAATTAAAGTTGAAATAGAGCTTCGCCACGTGAAGGTGTTCATTTAATTTGTTTGCAAATTCTCAAACACGCACTTTCTGCCAAATGCCAAACCTTCGGTAGAGGTAGATACACTGGTCAAAACCAATCAGTGAACGAGAAATGAGTGGGACTTAGGCTAGCTCCCTATATACTCGTACTAGTTTCACGCGAAGTAACGGACAGCCTATCGTAGTTTCGATATGTTAGTAAATGCAAACTGATCCTAAACTAAGTTAAACTTTACACCCAATAGTAGCTTAAGAAATTGCATTGAAATCATTGCGATCTCATTCAAGATTGAAACATCGGTAATTTAAATAAAAATAAAAAGTGTTAAAAGAAAGTTTTTTTAGTAACAACATAAAAAAAATAATTTATTTCGTAAAAAAAATTGTTATGATACCATTCAAGTGAAAAATATAATTTACAGAAACATTGAAATAGAAATCTCTGTATTTGATAGTAAAATTAATCTTTTTTGAACCATGACGGGTTCGGACGGGGCTACATTTTCCTTTTATACCAATCGCATTACTTAATTCGCTTCAGAAATTAAACCGCTTATATATTTGGAACGTTTTTTTTTTAGCCTTAAGGAAACAGTGGATCAAAAATGTCACTCACAATGGACATACACTCTTATGTCCATCTGTTTAAAGCTTCATTTGCCGCGAAGCTTGAGTTCTCGTAAAGGACCTTGATATTTTCCTTGAAAGATGCCAAACTAGTTAGTTTTACTCTCAAGTACAAGGTTAATGAAAGTGGGAGAAACTACTTAAGATTTATTAACATTTAGGACATTAAGTGAAATACAAACACTTGTTTTAATCGCCAATAAACATTTCAAGCGCCAATAGCATAATGGTTTGAGGTTCGGACTACCGATCTTCGACTTCTGTCGTGAACCATATTCTAGGACAAGCCTAGGCTTGTAGCTCTAGAGCTTAGTTGGAATGGTTAACGGAAATGTTAGTAAATTAACAAAAATCTACTGATATTTAAAAAAAATCTGTAGGTTTTAGATATTGACAAATGAATACTCGATTGAGTTATTCTTTGTGTTAATTTAAAATTGATCATAAAGGTATATTACATATCTTTGTACGAGAAAAAAAGATAAAGATTATGTAGCTTTGAAGATGTTATTAAAAGGAAAGTTTAATTAATTTTATGTTATTTACCTCTTGCAATCTTTAATCACATAAAACAACAGACGATATTCTTATTTAATGTATTTCAGCTGAAATACGCTACGATTGTTTTATTTCTTTTTAGTATACCTGTTCTTTTAATATTTAACGTTTTTACTTTACTATGCACTTTAAAAAACGTTTGGAAATGTAATTTAAAAGCGTATTGAAGTACCTATTCTGTGCACTTTCAGACAAAGTCTATGCTCCAAAGACGGGTCATTAGGGACGTTTTGCTTGGTCTCTTTTGTCTGAAAATTAATATTGATCTTATTTTGTTGCCCACTTTGTTGCTGGAAATCAAATTCAATGTTCCTTTACTTAAGCTCAATAGAATTTAAGCAAAGATATCTTTTACAAGAGAATGTTATAAATACTAGCGTAAATGTAAATTTCTTATGGGATGTAATTGTAAGGAATTGAATACATTACTAGCTTTCTTCATTGTGTATAATCGCTTATATTGGCTAAAAATCGTTTGATTATAGCCTTATAGAGTAGGTGTATGTCAGATAAATAAAATAGAAAATATGACAGTCGGTTGCTTGCTCTGTCTTTTCTATTTTTGACCGACTTCCCAAAAGAGGAAGGTACACAATTCGGCTGTATGTTTTTTTTTGTGTGTGTTACGGCATAAATCTTAAAGGAAGTAACATTCTTCTACATTACAATGATACCTGAAATAATTGAATGAATATTAAAAAAAAGTAAGTTAAAAAAATAACAAGCTGTTATTCGGGGTTAGCGCGTTCATCCTCTTTGTTTTCGTTTTTAAAGATGACCGGTGGCGTGTATTTAGTTTTGTAATTATCAAAGAAGTTGAGTTTTTGATAGGTTTATGAGTAATTATGTGCTAGTGACGTAAGGTGAAACAGCCAGTCTAATTATGTATGAACTTCAATGGTGCGTCCTAAAGGGCTTTAATGTTGAGGATATTCAGGTGCGAAAGCCGCCTCCCCCTCCCGCCGTTAACCTCCCTCAGGGTGGTTCTCGACCGAACTCCCAATTTTTTGTCATCGACAATCTAAAAGGGCAGTATCCCTCCCATCGATCAGAAAATTGTTATTTATTTTCCCCGATGTATATTTTATGTTTTGGTTCACCGTAATATTTCTTTCCGACAGAGGATTGGTATAATATTTTCGGCTTTTACGGTTGTTGACTTTGTTATTTTTATTTTCTATAACATAACATTAATTACCTATATTACTTTTACTTAAAGAACCTACGAAAATTATGTCTTGAAACGAATTTCTTACGATTGGTCCTAAAAATCTTGATATAAACTTTACTCCAATGCTATTAAACGGTTGCAACTTTGTGTCTCTTATCACAGGGCGTTGCCTTCCGGAGCTGTGCGTCCACCTATTTGAGAAGTACGGGCTGATATCGCACTACCGACTGGATGGTGCCACCCTGTGGAGGCTCTTCACCCTCATCGAGGATGGCTACCGCAGCTCCAACCCTTACCACAATTCGGTGCACGCCGTTGACGTCACCCAAGCCATGCATTGCTTCTTGCAGCAGAACAAGGTGAGCTTTTATGCCTTTTATATTACCCGAATGACAGATAAAGTTCATGTATTTTTCGTATATAAATTTTAAGGTTTACATGATTGATGTGTCATTTTATTTATCCTCGCCACGGAGTGTCAGAGATAGCCAGCCAGTCGTAAAACAACAAATTATTGTGAGAGAGATTGTGTATTCGTTATCAATAAAGTCGTTACAGGAAAGGGCATAGTCTACCAAAAAAAATGTCGCTAAAAACGTAGTAAAAAAACTTCAATATTAAAAAGTAAAATCAATATGAAACTTGACAACAATATAGGTGCACCGGCATTTGTTTTTGTTGTAATTAAGCCGCGCTTCAGGCTGGAAAATCCGCTTCGTGATACATCCAATTTGCATGAAACGTGCAATTTAAAACTTCGGCTTTTCGACGGTTCATAGGATAAAGGTTGTAAGCGCTTTTATTGAAGTACCTGTTATAGGCAACTATCAATTCAGTTACCGAACTTAGACTTTAGTTATTGTTGAAATATTTGAATAAATAAAAATAGTTTAGTAGTTACTTATAAAAAGCTAACTATTCATTGATGACTGTTGAAGATATCGATTTCTATTTTCGTTTAAAGGTAGGTTATTAAAGTCTTAATTGTGCACATAAATTTCGTTAGGTATTACACAAACTTATTATTATTATTATTATTAGTATTTAGTAAGGTATGACATAAACTTATGACATTACATTTAAAAAACTAAAACTTCATTATTTTTATTTTTTTTTATTTATTTATTTTAATACATAATAATATGAAAGTGTCCGTAAACCCAATTGCGGGTTTGTCTAGTGTTAAATTTAATTCAAGGTTCATTAGTTTTAAAACTACACTAAATAAAGTATATTTTTACATGTTACGTATTCTTTGAACATTTTACAGTTTTCATACTGCAATGATGTGCACGCTCTTAATTAATTTTCCAGAATCTCCTTTGCATTTGCCGCGGCACGGATCACGTACGTCCTTTCCACTTCAAGCATTCTATAAGCTTTTACATGACTCATTTATTTTACATACGTCATAACCAAAGCATTACGATTCGATGTTTTAAGTTAACTTTGCGAGATATTTTAATAAATACCTCCATAATATAATATAATAGTATACCCTGATTTTGAATTGGTGATCAAGGAACAATCGTCTGTTCCCCATTGCGACTTTGCTAGGAGTATAACTTTTTACTAAGTTTACGTTATCCTCTAGGAACTTCGACATCTATAGAAAAAGCATCGAAGGAGACTTTGTAAAAACTATCTTTATAACGTATTGTTTTATATTTTATCTAAATAAATTTTCTAGTTAAAACACATTTTTCTTAATCCTTTTCTAATTCCTTTACGACAATGCCTTCTTTATTTCTCATACCGTTTCAATAAATATTACGCCGGTATTTCATTACAAGCAAAGGAAATATCACAACGCATCGGGTTTATTTCCCTGTATTTCTCTACCACTATACTGGAGTTATTTCGTTATGAAATAACTTCTTTCATTCACCCAGTTAAAGCGTAAAGCCACTGCATTCTTATCTTCAAGATAAAAACTACAGCTACAATACACTTTGAACGGAATATTGTCTTTAAATATTTTATAAGATAGCTGATTCCATCTTGAGTTGCAATACCAAACTCAACGTCAAGTGTATAAATAATCTGCATATTCTGAAAATATGTAATTTTATTATTTTAACTTAACGGCAAAAACCTTTATTGATGTCCTTAGAAAATGCCAACAAATTTCTTTGCAATGGTTCAGAGACACATCGGAGATAAATATTGAATTTAATATAGATTAATGATAATAAATGTAAAATAATTTTAAACTCAGAAAAGATTTAGTCGGATTTTCACGTATTCTGTTGAAAATTGAAGTTAACCAACGTTTCGTCGAATGCAAATATGTACATCGATTCCAAACATACAAACTGTTCATGCGTCAAAGCTGAATTTTATGTTTGCAGTAAATATGATACAAATGGTAAACAATTCTTTGTATAAACACTATTTGCTGTTTGTCAATATGAGAGTTTATACTTTTGATATGGTTGTTTTATTCGGAAAATAACGATAATAAGTTCTTTTTTAAATCCAATTAACATGTTGGGGTAACGGTTTTTGTGTTAACGTCGACTATAACTATCCACAGTTGGACATACATATTGCTGAAGTAGGTACAATAATGTGATCACGTTTCTTTTTGTGGGAATCACAAAGTCTCACATGTGTACGCGATGATAATTTGTTTTTTTTAATCCACGTTAACTAAATCGCTAGCATATCCAGTAGTATCATAATAATTACGCATTACCATGTTACGTGGAATTTGGCCAATTATTGCAATTTAGGCGGAATCTCAATAGCGCTCCATAGAGAACTCAATATATAACTGCGGTTTCATGTGCTTTTACACTTCTCGATATATGTATTGATTATACAGGTAAAACAGGAAATGTGAATTTAATCAACAAAATAAAACTATCAAAACATTTGATACGATGAAATATAAATATGAATTTTCGTGGATAATATGATTGAATAGAACGTTTTCTTATAACAAGCATTGTTAATACTAAAAAAATATAGATTTAAGGAATGCTTATGTTAAATCAATAAAAGCATCTTGTACAATTACATGCACTGAGACGTAACTTCAGGTATGAGAATATATTCTGTCAATTATACAGTTCATCAAAGTAATAAACTAGAAACAAAACACCGTTTGACTTAAACTAAAGCACAGAATGAGATTCATTATACCCTCGGCTTCGAATAGCTTTGTTGCAAGACAAACTTTGTTGCAGCGGTACGGTCCGCCTGTCGCCAACAATGTTACAACGCTGATTATAACGTCAACCAAATATTAAATTGAAAATGGACTTTAAAGTATTTTCGACTGAATCAAAACTAATTAAACAAACATTTTGTAAATTAATTCTAACTATTTATATATTATTTATAGATTGTTATTTCCCAAATTCAGTACAAAAGATATTTTAAATTCGTAATCTATCGTACAATTATCTTACGTTTGTGTTGAAGTATTTATTGTTTCATATATACTTCAATAATTAGGTATAGAATTATATAAATAAATAACCAATTATTGCGTTTTTTCATCAGACGGAACTATCATAACATGCAATATCGACTCGGAATTAACCGGACGTGCTCTTAGTATATTGTGTAACTCAATTTATTGTTTTGTTAAAAGTGTTTTTTGAACAAGTATTGTAGTAGCATAATCTATTAGGAATCTGGACACCAAATTTTCGTTCTCCAAATCGATCTATCATTCACTTCAGACTTCACTGGTTTAATCATATCACTCTATAAGTCTTCTTTTCTAAGCCCATACTTGTGATGGTATTATGCAATGAGTGCAACGAATACGCCTTGACCAGTGACGCATGTAGATGATATGCATACTGTGATAGGGTTGGCAGCTCATGCAATCAAATTGTATTGGTTTGACAACCCTAATTGGCAGTCGCTTTGTAACGCTCACAACTCGCAGAATCATTAACAAGACATATCAATTAGTTGTGGCTTGTTAAGTTGGAAATTGTACACCGGATACTGAACTAGTGCACTATTCAATTACTGCCTTAATTCTATATGCAAACGAAGCATACCAAATACGGTAAACACTACCTGATACTGGCGACATCGACCACACCTGTATAATAATCTGTAAATCGTATAATAGGGTAATTAAAAAAAATAACATATCAACATAAAAATGATAGCTATTCGCTATTAAATATTTCAATTAGTGAAATATCTTCGTAAGATTTCGAAATGATTTCACTTGTCCCATTTCTCATTAGGTACGTTAATTCCTTTGGTCTACATGAAAACCTCTAATTAGCGCGATGCTACTTACAGTGAAATTCCGCTGCCGCGACACATGTTTTCTCTGTTTTGTTTTAAGATTAAGAGGGATGATATACTCCGGCAGCGTGGAATTAAAACCAACAAAGGTAAGTAGCCTATGTGTTCGCCCAGATTATCCTCTACATCTATGCAAAATGCATCAAGATCTGTTCAGCAGTTTAGGCTACAAGTTCTAACAAACGTCCATACAAACTTTCGCATTAATAATATTAGTAAAATGTTTCAGTCTTGTCTGAGATTGAGCGAGATGGCAATGTGTTTTAAATTAATATTTCTGCAACAACACCTTTATTAAAAACGTATTTAGTACTGAACGCAGCATAGCTTGTGTGTATGACTCATTTAACTAATAAAATAATTTGCTTACTACGAGATAATCGAAAGCAAAAACACATCAAAAGTGTCATGTGAATTAAGTTTTAAAAATGCAAAACAAAATTTCTGGTATCAAATATTACTCAATGTAATGAATGAACTCACAAAATCATTGAGTGATAAATACCATACGACAAACAAGTCAACAAAAAAGAAAACTTTACAAACATTTCAGCAAAACTTTAAATCCACGGTACACGCTTGCTAGGTTTTTTATGTCGTAAAACTTTTAATGTACACGTATTTTTTTAACTTACAAACTGTTTCTCATTTTCCTATTTAATGTTAGTCGAACGACCACTACTATAAAATTCAGTAACAACTGCTCCAATACGTTAGAAGTTCAATCGATGTTATTACTTTTCAATAAAATATCAGCGGCAAGTATCAATATTTTCGGTCGCAACTGCGCACCGAGTCCGGGTCTCAATTAGTTTAATCGACCTGTTGTTAGCCTCATCCCGGGACTGATGCCGGTTTCACACGAAGACGGTGAGACAGAACAGCACTGATATTGAACAAACTCTGAAACAAAAAAGAGCACTCAGACAATATAGCCGGTATTTAATTAATTAGGTAGTTTTTAGTTGTATGTGTTGGTAGTTTTTAATATAGCATTCGAAAACCTGTAATGGTATTAAAATCGTCAAAATGTAGGAATAAAAAACATAAGGCTTATTGAAAGTTATTGTGCCATCCT